AAAAGAAGGAATGATCTGATTTTTTAGATAGGTCAAATAAGAGGAAGACTGGGAGTGGGGGGAAGAAGGTCCGATGGATTTAATAACACGAAAGAGAAGTGATATCTTTGTCAGATGCGTTTTTGTAAGAATTATGTGGGGAGAAGCCAGATTTTAGTTGGCTGAGGAGGAAATATCAATAAGGAAGGAATCAACTCTTTAAAGGGAACTTTGGAGATGGAGAGCAGGAGGCGTTGGGCAGTAGCTTGAGTACTACTGAGATTATCTCTTTACTCATACATAGGTCAGAAGTCTGAACTTATTTTAAATATTTGTTACTAGTATACTCATTTTTTAAAGAATGCCTGTGTAGAATTCTCGTTTATCAGAGAAAAGTATAATATCACAGGTAAGCAAATCAACACCTCTTTTTAGCAGCATTCAGTAGAAAATATGCAGGCCATTTAGCAGGTAAGATCTTTTCATTTTCTTTGGTAAGAAGCTTGTAGAAATCACGAAGATGATTTGAAACTCTATTTTTCAAATTAAAGTACCTAAGAGCTAGAGGGAACATTTTTTCCTGGGATGTGGGACTTGCAGTGCTAAAACTAAGACAGTCCTAGGCAAACCGGACAGTTGGTCACCCTGCCTGCCCTAAGGGTGATAGTATTTTTGGCTTCTCCCAGATTAAGGCTTTTGACTCAAAGGAGAGATTGAGAAAAGGATCCAGGTAGAGTTTCATGTTCCTTCTACACTATTGCTTTTCTTTTCCTCTAGATCTGCACAGCAGTGGACACTTTCTTGGGGCTCCCTCTCTTATCTTTTTTTGTGTCTGGTGGGATTTCTGCTGAAAGAACCTGCAAGAAAGTGCAGACTCCCTACAATTTATGCATCCCCTAATGCCTTCACACTGTCCTCCTAGCCCTCACTCTGCCTTCACCTGTTCCCTTACTATTCTAGCCATGCTCTTCCTATGGTATCCGGTTGCATCTATCCCAAGTAAGCAAGTGCTAATGTCCTGTGTCCCCTCTGCCCTTGCAGGTGCCTGCTTCTCTTTTGATTTATGGCCAGTTGTTTGCTCTGTGACTTGAGTTCTCTCACAGGTTAGAAATAAGTCGTGAATTTGAATTTAGTTTGATGTTGTTTCACTGTAAGTGTGGGAGCAATGCTGTTTGCAGCTTTCTGCGTCCCACAGTGGAAACTAGAACCTTGCTTTACAAAGTTTCATATACATATAAAATCATCTGGGAATCTTATTGAAATGCAAATTATGTTTCCGTAGGTTTGAGGTGGGGCCTGAGATTCTGCATTTCTGACTACTGCAATTCTAGTCACTGCAAGTTCCCAGTGATTCAGTACTACAGGTCCAGAGACCATATTTTGAGTAGCAAGGTTCTAGAAAGTGTTTTTGTTTTTGTTTTTATGACGGGAAGGAGTTGAAGTCATGTAGAGAAACTCAGGCATGCTTGAATTGTGAAAAGAAACAGGCAAACACATGTGAAGTGATGATGTAAGATGTGGCATATTTTGTGAACTGGCAGAATTTTATATTTCTGTGTGGAAAAAATCTTACGGTTTAAAAAACATTATCTTAGCATTTTTTCTGATCAGAGGGCTTCTTAAAGACATTAGAAAAAATGTGAATTGTTAAACTGATTTTATAGCTATACAGTGATCACTTTTGAGTAATAAATGTGGTGTCATAGATGTGTTCCTTTTTGTTCATCTCTTTTTATTTCCCATTATTACCTTGAATATACTGTCTTTTCGTTAGTCTCATTTCTTCAGTGAACCATGCCCCCCGTCATACTTTTTTTCCTCTGCTTTTCTTCATTCTGTTCTTTCTGTGCTTTCCTCACTTAATTTCGTTTTACTTTTTAAATTTTGAAACACTCTCAAGTTTACTGAAAAGTTTCAAATATAGTACAATAAGCTTTTTTTTTTCTTCCTCTGAGTCATTTGAGAATAAGTTGCTGACATGATGTCCTATCATCCCTGTCACAGGTTAGGCTCCTTGGGGAGCCGTCTCTGAGACAAAGATTAGCATGCAAGAAGTTTATTGGGGAGTCCTGTTGGAATCCTCACTTTAGAAAGGCAAGGGAAGGAAGCAGGCTTTGGCAGAGGTTCTAGAGATTGGATGACCCTTCAGTGTTGTCCTGAGTTGGGTGAGAGGTCTGGACCTCAACCTCTGTGAAAATGAGCTATTGGATGTGGGCTGCCCTGGGCAGGGTGCAGAGCCTTGGATGAGGCAGCGTTCTTCAGCTGAGGCAGTCCCCCGAGATGACTGTCCACTGAGGGCTGTCTCTTGGCAGGACTTCTGGTATCTAAGGATCGACTGTGCATTACAATGTCCACTACAACTGGAGTACTTTGGCATCTATTTCCTGCAAACAAGAACATTGTCCCTTATAGCCTCAGTATAACATGGGTAGAGTACTACCATCTAATACTCTGATGCCATTCAAGTTTCACCAGTTGTCCCAATAATGCTCCTTTACAGTAAAAAGATCCAGTCCAAAATCACATGTTGCATTTAGTTGCTACATATTTTTAATTTCCTTCTATTTGGAACAGCTCCTCAGTGTTCCCCTTGCCTTTCATTAAGTTTATGCTTTTGAGCATTACAGACCAGTTATTTTGTAGCATGTACTTCAATTTGGTTTTGTCTCTTTCCTCATGAATAGATTCCAGTTATGCACCTTTGGCAGGAATTTGATGTTACATTCTTCTTTTTCATCCTTTTGGTTGGCTCATGATTTCAATTTGTCCCTGGTGATGTTAACCATTTCCAGGTTAACCATTTTCTTTGAACATTGACTTTTAAAGTGATGTTTAAAGTGCTAACTTATCCACTATATAGTTAGTATTTTTCCTTTTGTAATTAATATTTTGTGGAGAGGTACTTTGAGTATAAGAAATATCTCATTTGTCATCAATTATTTATTAACTTATATCAGTATATACTCATGGATTCTTATTCTATTTAATGGGTTATAATTCATTACTATCATTTTTGATCCTCTAACTGTTCCATATTTCGCCAGTGGGAACCCCTTCAGGCTGGCTTCTGTATCTTTTTGACACGTCCCCATTATTTTTTGAATATTTCCTTACTTTCTGGCACCACAAGATGTTCCAGGTTTATCTTGCACTTTTCCTGCCCTAGCCCTGGAATCAGCCATTTATTCAAAGAGTTTCTTCAGTGTAGATGGTATTTAGAAACCAAGATTTGGGCATTAGGTCTGCTTGTAGCTATTAAGGTGTTGCTGTTCCCAGTCCCCCACAGTGGACAGAGCTAGTGAATATATGTATTTATATACAGAGTAAATATCATTTATATTTTTATTTCTCTGTCTATATATATTATAAAATAAAAGTTCATAACAATTTCTCCAGTTCCGATCCAACACCACAGGATACGTTCTATTTTTCTCTCTTTCTCTATTTCTAACTTCATCCTCTAATGGAAAAATACCTGACTCCCGTTATCCTTAATATATTTATTCTTTTGATCACTCCTCCTGCATGTCACCAATATCTCATCACCACCACTGGATTTATGCCCATTTCATTAAATAATTCATTTTTTTCTTATTACAGGCAGTCCCTGCTTTGCACAGTTACCATATGCATGAATTTCAGTAGCCATGTTTTAGTTAAATAACACCAGTCCCCAAGAACATGGTCGAATTTCATTTACCACAGTATATTAACTATGGGTAATTACCTAAAGTATTAACTTTGCTGCTAACTCCTCAGTCCACGAATCACTGTGTAAAAACAGATGTGCATCTTGATCCTGATCAGTAACATCACTTTTTCAGTCTGTCACTGGTTGGTCACTACTTACCTGTTATTTGGTTCACACAAAGCAAAATGTGTAGTTGTGTTGCTTCCTTATCTCCCAGTGATAAGCCAATGAGATGTTTTACAAAAATGGATAATCAAAAGGGAATTGACCAAAAAAGATGAAAGTGCAGCAAAGAAACGAAGAGTGATAATGCTGAAGTGAAATTTTAATCAAATGTAAATGGAGTTATAGAAAAAATAGCTGACTGTGGGAATGCTGACACCGCTGTTGAACTGCTGCCATTTGAGAGGCTCCAAATATGCAGCCAGAAGAGCTTAGAGAAGGCGAACCTTATGGACATGAATGAGGAAAGTGAGAAGGTTGTGATGAAAAGGATGAAGATGTTCCAGAGGAAGTGACTCTGGTAAAAACTTCACATTAAAGGAACTCTCAGAGATATTTCATGATATTGGAAATATAAAGGATAAAATGTAAGCTAATCCAAACTTAGAAAGGAACGTGACAATTTACCAAGGCATAGAAAAGATGCTTGCTCCATATTGCAAGTTATATGATGAGAAGAGTATTAGCACTATTGAAGCTACTTTTGATAATCTTTTTACAAAGAGATAAAACACTTCAATTCTCAGTGTTTCTAATATTTTAAATTACAGTACACTAAATAAATATTAGTTTTGCTATTTTTAAGATTTCCTTTTGTATTTTTAACTGTCAGTAAAAGAGTTTTTAAAGAAAATTTTAAAGGTTACAGAACAATTGTAATTTTCCGCATTGGTTATTATTTTTTGTGTGTGTGAGGAAGGTCAGCCCTGAGCTAACATGCATGCCAGTCCTCCTCTTTTTGCTGAGGAAGACTGGCCCTGGGCTAATATCTGTGCCTATCTTTCTCCACTTTCTATGGGACGCCGCCACAGCATGGCCTGACAAGCAGTGCGTCAGTGCGCGCCCGGGATCCAAACCCGGGCTGCCAGCAGCGGAACATGTGCACTTAACGGCTACGCCACTGGGCCGGCCCCTTTGCATTGGTTATTAAGATTGCTTTGCTTGGTTTCAGCTTGCATTGTCATTCTTATGGTCTCACACTATTGTGCAAAGTGAGGACTGCCTATATTCTAGCACTTTTCACTTCAAAATTTCATATACATTTTTTGTTTATACATATTTTATTACTTTATTGATTGAATACATTTTGATTTAAAAATATTTTTAGCATGCAGATATCCCAAACCTGAGATTGCCATTGTGAAGCAAGCAAAGGAGGTATCCTCAGCAGAGACCCCTGATAGTTTTGGTATAGTACAATCTTAAAGTATTGATTGTTTGTCACATGTTCATTGCAAATAGCAAAGCATCTATTTGACAGAACTTCTTGCTTGTTTGAAATAAAATGCTTTGGTTATAATGGTAGTCTTTTTTTTTTTTTTTTGCATCAGTGTTTTGGACTGTCTACTGAATATTTATTTTTATTATCTAGTCCTAGACCTTGTGGATGTGATGGAATAATAATTGCATGTTTAATTAACTGAAATATTAAATTTATAACCTTAACAAAAGACAAAATAACTTATATTTATATATTTAAATAGTGTATTTAAACATTGTTGAAATAACCACAGCAAGTGAGACATAACAAGCAACAAAGATTATGAATTTCTTTAGGATGAATGAGTAGGAAAAAAGGACCACACGCAGGGAAACCTTCAGAATATTGTAAAGAGAAACTGTATTTAAGTAACTGAACCTAAGGAAAATATATTTGAAAAATATATTCTTGAGTAGTTTGAAAGCCATATATAAGTTCATTTTAAGGCCATTCCTGAAAGTTTTTGTACATTCAGTCTCCATATAGCTTGATTGGTGACTTATGTTGCATGCTGTGGTGGTGGTGGTAGTGGAGGAATTGTGTTGAGTGTGTGTGCATGTATGAGACAGAGAGAGAGAGAGAAAAGGGAAGGGAGAAATAAAAATAAATATCTCTCTGTCCCTATTTTATTTATTTTTGATTACTATTTAATATAGATGCATTGCCGAAGAAGTACAACATAATGTATGAAAAGCAATCAAATATTTTCTGGACCAATTGAAATTTTTTAAGGATAAATAGTAAGTACAACCTAGCTTTCTTAGGCTGTATATGTAGTGTCAAGAGTAAAACCAAATTGTAAGAACTTCAGAGAAATGTAGAGGCATATAGTGTGTGTACACATGTATACACATATACATATATATTAACATATTAGTACATTATCTGCAGAAATTCCCCAGTATACTCGACTTTACCAGGTCTAATGTAGTTCTACAATTAAAAAATTTTAATCTCATTTTCTATGTAGAAGTTAAACATTTAATGCAAATGTCTTTTAAAGAATAAAGTTTTAATTTTGAATTATTCGGAAGATTGTTTAATTAGCCTTCATTTTTAGGACAATGTAGGGAAAAAGGAATGATACTTATTCTATAGATGATGGCAGATGACATCTCTAGGAGGTAACGTGCTGCTGAACAATAACTATATAGACTAACAGTAGGACTTACCTGTCAGTGATCTCTTTTTGAGACTCAGTCTTCAGTTATATCCCTACTCACTGTAGTGTGCTTCTTCATGAATGTTTAGGGATACCCCTCTGTGTTTTTAATCCTACTCGTTATGCAATAAAGAAGAAATATAGACTCAGAATCTTTGAGCTAGAAGGGATGGCAGAGACGTAAATTCCTCATTTTATGTAACGTAAAACTGAGATCTAGAGGGTTTATGATATGTTCAAGATTTGGCGGCTAGATATATACATATCAAAGCAGGGATTAGTGTCAAGTCCTTTGGATTTTTAGTGCAGTGCTCTTTTCATTGTAATAAATTTCTTTGGGCTTAGCAGGGGAGATTAGTGCTAGACTATAGGGTATCCAGTTGTTCTTAACAATTTTATTTATTTATTTCTTCCCCCAAAGACCCAGTAGATAGTTATATGTCATAGTTGCACATCCTTCTAGTTGCTACATGTGGGACGCGGCCTCAGCATGGCCAGAGAAGTGGTGCGTCAGTGCGCGCCCGGGATCCGAACCCGGGCCGCCAGCAGCGGAGCGCGAGCACTTAGCCGCTAAGCCACGGGGCCAGCCCCTATCCAGTTGTTCTTAAACCAGCAGAAACCTTGTAATTTTCCCATTCAGAAAATGTTTTATTTGGTAACCATAATAAGTCAGTTGATTTCTTCCTCTTTCTTTTAACTTGGATGGATTTTTGAAAATGATTTATCTGAAAGACAGTTATTTCTTAGGAGAGAAAAGAAGCAATTTGAAAAGGATATTAGTATTTTAGTTAATTGCAGTTTTACTTCAATTTCAAGTATTAATGCATGACCAATGTTTTGACGATGTTTTATGTATTTATATATGATTGTTTGATTTATATATGATTGTTTCTTGGTTCTTCTATGTTTTTCTATTGAGAATTAATTCACAGAGAGAGGTAGGACAAGAGAATTAGAATCTGGGTTCTAGACCCAGCTGTGTGTCTTTGAGTACATCGCTTAACGTCTCTGGGACTAAGTGGCTGCATCTTTAAAGTGGAGAATTAAGTCAGGATTTCTCGGAGGGCACAGTACTGGCATTTGGGCTGGATAATTCTTCATTATGAAGGACTCTCTTGTGTATTGTAGGATGTTTAGAATCCCTACCACTAGTAGCATTTTCCAGTCATTATCACATCCAAAAACAACCCTGCATTTCTGAGCATCTTCTAAGGTGAGGTACCATCCCATGTTCAGAACCACTGGCTGATGGTTTCTAATGATCCTTTCAGCTTTGACATTCTATGAATGAATTCTTATTTGGGGAATGATTGAAAGGTAAAAAGGTAATGCCTTGACTGAAAAATCTTTTCTCCTTCCTAGTATTAAGCAATTTTATTTTAAAATGAATGTTTTCTGGGGATCTATGTAACCATACCCACAGATATATCTACGACTTATGATGTTCCAAGATGAATTATTATTTTTTTATAGCTCACTTTTAGCTTTCCATCTATACTATAGTATATCCATGTATAATGTGTGTAATTATACGATTTTCTAAACTTAAAGTTATAGAGTACTATCTCTATACCTAATAAGTAACAGTAACAAGATCTGACTTTTTTTTTTTTTTCCCCCTGAGGAAGGTCAGCCCTGAGCTAGCATCCATGCTAATCTTCCTCTTTTTGCTGAGGAAGACCTGCTCTGAGCTAACATCTATTGCCAATCCTCCTCCTTTTTTTTCCCCAAAGCCCCAGTAGATAGTTGTATGTCATAGTTGCACAGATCTGACTATTTTTTAAAAGTTGTACTGTTGTTTTAATATCTTAGCCTTTTTAAAAAAGGAATATCATTATATATAGTAATTATTTTCTTTGTCTGTTCTCCTTTGCCATGAAGGAAGGGAAGGATTATATATAGTCTTGGTGTTAATTAGTATATATAATTGTTCCAGGTGCCCAATTTAGACATGTAAAAGCAACCACAAATCAATAGTATGTTTGATTATCCTAAAAAAATCTCCATGAAATGATAGCTATAAGAGAAATAAATTATTGTACTTCTAGTGTTTACTATTTCTTAAACTAGAGTTGAACAATCAACAGGTTAGTACATTAAGGACATTAATAAGGGTGATGATTAATTGGGCACTATTGGCTGCCTCATCGTTACTACTGGCCAACTCTTGTCCTCAACTGTTGTACCACTGGCCTGCCTCAGCCCAGGAATAGGTTGGTTGCCCTTAAGTAAACTGGATACCAGTCTAGGTTGCAAAGAAGCCCCAGGTTGCATGTTACGTCTCCTAGGAGGTTAATGAGGTAGAAATTTCTTTGCTATCTAATATGCATGTTTCAGTATAGCTTTTAAATGCTAAATAAAATTACAAAATCACACTCAAATGCTTTTTTTTTTTTTTTGTCTTAGGTAGGCCTGTATTTTTTTTTTTTTTTTGGTGAGGAAGGTTGGCCCTGAGCTGACATCCATTGCCAATCCACCTCTCTTTGAACTGAGGAAGATTGGCCCTGAGCTAACATCTGTGCGCATCTTCCTCTATTTTGTATGTGGCATGCCGCCACAGCATGGCTTGATAAGCAGTGCGTTGGTCTGTGCCTGGGCTTCGAACCTGCGAACCCCGGGTCTCGAAGCAGAGCGCATGAACTTAACCACTACACCACCGGCCTGGCCCCAAGGCCTGTATTTTTAAAAATTATTCAAAAGACCCTTTACAATTATAGTCTTTATTTTAAAAGACAAGACTTGGTAATTGAAATTTACTAAGTTAAGAAGTTAAGTTCTTTGCTGTTTCTAACGAGTGTTTTTATTTTTCAATTTCGAACATCATTTTTTTGTAAGTATATTACTTAGCCATATTCGTTTCTTTTAAAAAATATTGCTGTGTAGCGTTATAAACGTCTTTTTGGTGCATGTTTGATTTTTTTGGCATTTAATATGATTTGCTTAAATTATTTTGCATATGGCATGATTTGCATTTTAAGTTTGTATTTTTTAATGTTTTATATATTATAAATTTCACCTTACCCATTGGAACTTTTGGTTCTATTAAAAGTCTAAACAGTTAGTTATTCATAATGTTCAGAAATATGAGTAACTGAAACCCGTAGTCCTCAAATTGTTGCTTAAACACAGTAGTTTCATCTCTGTTCTTTTCCTAAATCTCTTATTAGGCCCAGTTGTGATTTGTGTCTACTTCCTGCACTTTCCTGGGTCAGATGCTGGGGTGGGGCCTGGAGCAAATATTAGATTGTCAAAAGATTGGAAACTGGATAATTGGACACTTAAAGAGTATTGAGTTTTTTGTAATTAAAGGAATAGTCCTTTTATGTTATCTCAGGGTGAAGTTGTTTTGGTACTTTTCTTACTAAGTCTATTATAAATGATTTTGAATTTTTCTCTTGATTTGTGATCCATTGATGTTTACGTCCATGGTAACACTGAAATAAGTTTATCACATTTAGAATTATCATTCCATGAAAGAGTAATAGAAAACAAGACTCTTGTTTTTGTTTCTCAGATTTTCTTTTGTTTCAAGTTTGGATTTATACCTTGTGAAGTACGGTTAAATTTAATGGAATGTTTAACAATGAAAATGACAAATTATACTTTCTATTAAATAGCGTAATAGAACTGACTCTATATGCCAAGAAATCTAGTTTGATTTTCTAGCACCACCACTGTAAACACATTTTGTTTTATAAAGTAGACTAAAATGTAGACTATAGATATTCCAGTTACATTTCTTCTACCAAAATATTTTGATTTTCAC